AAACAAGAGCATCACGTTACTTCCCCCCCCCCCAAAAAAGCTCAAACCTATTAGAAATGTGGCCACTTATTCAACAATAATAAAGAAACGACAGTGAAGAGTCGACAAAATTCACACACACACACACACACACACATATATATATATATTTCTCACATCTGAAGAGCTAAGTGACCAGTAGTGTAGTGTATGATGTACAAAATGAATTAACGATAATGCTAGAGTACGTCAGATACACTGTATTAAAATGGAAGAAAAAATAACTAAAACATTACACTAAGAATACGGATGGCTGGAAAATCTGATGCAAATTAGTTAATTTTTCTATTCCTCGACTATACCCCCTTCTTTGCATCTAATGAAGAAACTGCTTGAAGATATTTGGTAGTTTGTTTAGTTGTTGTATATTTTGTAGCACAGACTGGTTATATTATTGTGGAAAGGGATACAAATCTACACACAACTGATCATAAACTAAGTGTACTTACCTCGACACAGCCAACAGTACACTGGAACAGAAACGCTCCGATATTTAAACTTATACTACTTAAAAAGTAATTGCGAACACTTAAATATATTCATTTCATTACTTTATCATATGAAATAGTAAACGCTTACCTGTTTGCTCTTCAGTCTTGACATCGACAAGTTTTAATGGCACACATTAGGTTTTGTTTTGTTCATACCACATTATGGGGCCGATATTGTTGAGTAAATTAGGATCATTTGCCCAATAAACACGTGAAAATAGATCACTTATCATCCATTGTTCATATTGCTCACTTAACGAGTTCGTAAAAATATAAATATCAGATAACTGGGCTTTTTTATTGAAAACATCTTCCTTCGTTGTGAGGAAATTTTATGGTGTGGTTTTGTTGTATCTTTTGTATAGTTGTAAATAATGCGTTACTGACATTCCACGTATATAAATGGTTCAATTTCAAGTAAAGCAACAACAACAAAAAAACGTGTCAGATAATTTGTGAAAAAAATAAATAAAAATTCAGAACAAAATTAACTTTGCATTTAGTTTCAGGATTAAATTATTGTGTTTCTTTAACTGGATAGTCTATACGTTACATTCTCGTCAATGAAAAAAATAATTTAGACCCAATTTTTGGACATGTTTTTTTTTATATTAATTAAGAAATGTAAAAATTAAGCATTTTGCGAGTATTATTAACATCCAATCGCCTATCGTTTTGATAACTTTTTGAAGACTTAATTTGCACTTTACCGCAATGTTTTTTTGTTCTTATCTGAAACGCTAAGATAGGAATTAATATTAAAGATTAGAATAATACAGTTTATTTAATTTTTTTAAATAATTTAAGTTTTTTATGGGTGATTTAAGGCAGAATATTCATGACGAACAGATAATGGCGAATTGTGCAGCAAACTTTCTAGTACAGAGTGACACTTGTGATGAAAGTATTGGAGGACCAATCTTCAAAAGTAGCACAGGTGGTTTTGTTTGTTTGTTTAAGCACAAAACTACAGAATGGACTATATGTGCTGTGCCCACCATAATTATCGAAACGCGGTTTTTTAGCGTTATAAGCTTTCGGATTTACCGCTGAGTCATTGAGATTCTGACGAAAATCTTTCGAAACGTCGTCCTTTTCCATCTGTGCTACTCTTGTGGATTAGTCCTTCAAGACTTTCTCCACAAGCGATACGCTGAACTAAGCAGTTGCTGCCAGTTTCACCTGTGTTTGTTCAACACTCGCAAATATTTGAAATGTTACAAATACAAAAGTTTTGTATCAAAATTAAAACATACTGGGTAATTCATGACCAATCTTCTCACAGCGTGCTACCATAATATAGTTATGACAAAGATGTACTCGGTGTTTGATAACATACTGTCGGACTGCGTGATTCAGCTTTCACGGTCGACGTCTCCAATAAACGGTATTCCACGACGGCAGTACACGCCCACCTCTGACTGTTGCACAGTGACGGTGCTACAAAAATTCTTACCACTTCCTGTTCACAGTAAACCCTAACAATTTACATCTCGAAGGATAGGATATGAATGACAACAACATAATGACACGCACCCGTTTCTGTCCAGGGCGCGATTCCCGCTGTTCGTAGTCATCGGGGAGTTGAAGATATTCTTCCAAAGACGAGTGTTTCTTCTTCCCAACGCGAAGGCCGTCAAGTCGATCTGAAATCATCAGAAAAGTGGTTTCTATCACAAATACCCTTTAGTTACAGACTTTAGACAATAAGAATAATCCGCGTGTATATATATATCAAACATCCAGCCTGAAACACTACCACTGCTGGGATGTTCTCACTTACCGATTTTTCTAAGAACGCTTGATAATGCGGATTGGACACTACCCTAAATAGCACTATGAAATTTTCTCGATAAGCTACGAAGCTCAAACAAACCTGTTTGCAATCCACTACGTTCATCCATGGTATTGTTCTTCGTGTGGCGAGGCTGGAAAGTTCTGACGACGGTGTAGTTATTTTTTGTATCCGGATAGAAATATTAAAAAAAAAATAATCACGTAAAACTCTCACCATATTCAATCCCATTAGATTTTAAAACATTGTTCTACACATCCACAGTAAAGAAGTAACAGGGTAAACAATCATTTCAGCTCTATACCACAGCAATGTATCTTGATTGTCTTTCCTGTGAGCAAGCAGCAAGAAATGAGTTATCTTTCTACAAAGTCATCTTATGGTAACAGTTGCGTCTTGAACGCACTTCCAATAAATAACAATACGAACGTAATTATTTTAAGCATTCAATAACCGTTTCGAAATCTTCAGTAAGCTAAAGATCCAAAAATACACAATGGTAATTACACCAAAAATGTGATATACTCTTTAAAAAATGATATTATTACACAGTTTGATTGTTTATTTTAGACCAAAGCAACAACGGGCTATCCGCTGTGTCCACCGCGGCGAATCGAATCCCTGATTTTAGCGTTCTAAATACACAAACTTACCGCTGTCCGACCGAGGAAACATACAGTTTGATAAAAAAATAAATAAAATGAACAACTTGCAATACCTACTGTTCATCACCCCTCCCCTCCTTTTATATTCAAATTGTATAATGTCATTTGTTATAGAGTATATCACATTACTGGTGTCATTATCATTATGTATTTTTGGGTCTCTAGCTGAAGATGGAATTCAGAAGATTCCGGAACGTCTATTAAATGCTTCAAATAATTACGTTTGTGTTATTATTTATAATTAAAACCGAATGGATCACTTCCTACAGACTTTTAGGAGGGCTCATAACCCATTTGCTATAGGGAGAATGGTGACGTTCTTTAAATAAACATTTACTGACAAACTTATATTAATATCACATACTCATTTACTGTCTCTTGACGACATTACGCCGATTGAGAATAGGGGCTTATACAAGTAAGAATCAATAAAAAAAATGATATCCACAGAAACTTAAGACCTGGAGTAATACGCAGGGATTGCCAAAATGGAGTAAATTATGGTAGCTAAGTTAACTGGGACATATAATCAGTGTCAAAGAAAAAATGCAAATTACCATTAATATGATTAAAATAAACATTTCTCAGCTAATTCAACTCGCCAACAAATATGAATGCTAACAAATCGGCCTCATGAATTCATTTAATCACAGACACACACGGCTTCGTTTACATAAATAACATACTCTTGTTAAGTATACAAATTCCCGTTGGATCTATCTGCGCAAACCTTCAATATTGAGACATATGTGATCTTCTAGAGAAAGAGAGACAATTACTATATAATGTTTGATAATACAGTAAGGAATGCTATATAGTGTTTGATAATACAGTAAGGAATGCTATATAATGTTTGATAATACAGTAAGGAATGCTATATAGTGTTTGATAATACAGTAAGGAATGCTATATAGTGTTTGATAATACAGTAAGGAATGCTATATAGTGTTTGATAATACAGTAAGGAATACTATGTAGTGTTTGATAATACAGTAAGGAATACTATATAGTGTTTGATAATACAGTAGGGAATGCTATATAGTGTTTGATAATACAATAAGGAATGCTATATAATGTTTTATAATACAGTAAGGAATACTATTTTAGTATTCCTTACTGTATTATCAAACACTTATAGTATTCCTTACTGTATTATCAAACACTTTTAGTGTTTGATAATACAGTAAGGAATACTATTTGTGTTTGATAATACAGTAAGGAATGAAAAAGCTCTAAGTTTCAAGTGTCAATACACAAATAACAATCCAAATCTGCAGAAGAAAGACGAAACGGAAAAGGCTGTTGATGAAAGCTTAAGTTTCGACATGAGTTTGTAATTCACTTGTATTGCCCTCCGAGGAGAGATCTACAAACACACACACACACAGTGTTTACCGTAACTCGGGCTTCTCATAAACGACCATTCTTACCACAACCTAAAAAACCTTAACTTCAATGAAGTGATTTCAGTGTTTACACTAAATCAATAAACAGAGCCGAAGGAGTAAAGGGCAACATATGACAGTATATTAACATTCTTCCTGCTTGGAGATCGTGATTAAGACGAACGTAATACGTCAATTTAGTCAAGGCAACGTTTTTAACCTCTTGGAAGAGCTCTGTGCTACGGCTCGAGTCAATAGAGAACATATAATCGCTATTATGGCTATGCAAACCTATCACCACAATCGAGGCTTTGTGCTACGATGAAAGTTACATTTACAGCCACCAGGAGGCCATGGGTGACAGATCTAAGGGCTCTAAGAGAAACATTACGTCTGACCTTAAGATTTAGTTTCACTTGCTGCCACCCAATCCTCGTTTTTCTACGGTGAGCTTAGTGATAAACCGCGCCTTCTCACAGTAAACTGGCTTTCATCCCGCCTGCCCTCTAGAAACCGGCATGTTTATCATACTTACAGAATCAAGTGATGCCTTAACTGTAATTGAAGTTTACGATGGACGTTTTGACTGTCATGTCCGCGAAAACAAATACCGGAGGCCCCAAATATACCCACACCAAGTAATGTATAGACGACGTCACCTGTATCAAATTTCTGGGGTAAAATAACAGCACCTCACCCTCCGATTAAAAAATGATATTACAGAATACAGCTATCTAGTGTGCATGTGATCGTTTCTTATCTTCATATCGATAGCATCCTTTATACGTGGTTTAATTAACTTGTGAAATTACTTGCTAGTTTTATTTCACTCTGAATATCTTTTAAACATCACTTTTGGCTACCGGAACTTCCCTCGAGACGAATAAAACGCGTGATATAACAAGTTTACCCGGTGTTTCTGGAGTAAAGAAATCATTAACTCGAAACTACGCCACTTCTTTCACCAGAATAGTTGCTATTCTTGCATAAAGCAATACAAAGGAATGGATAAAATAACAAAAGTTATATTTTATTATTATTTTCACTGCGTTGATATGTATATATGACAACTCACTTCTTTATTCTAACATTAGTTGTGGTTTATGGAAATACGGTTTGAAGTACTTTGAAATGTGGACAAATGAATAAGGTTATTGCATCTACAGAACTGTACACAGAAACCAGGATGTATATTTAACCCGGGTCATTAAACGAACATTTTTCTAAGTTATGCTATAGAGCAGTGGTTCCCAAACTCTTTTAATCTGAGGCTCTTTTGATGTGAATAAAAAAGTTTGAGGCCCCCTCCCAATTTGTACAAATGCCTTAAAATATTTTTTAAAATACCCCCCCCCTCACTACTTTAGCATGATGATTGAAAAACAGTATCGTAGTAAAAACAATAACATTTCATTTCGATATACTGTATCATTTGATTAATTCAACATAATTTTTATCTGCTTATTGTTTATTTAGAATTAAAATTAATTCAGCATCTTTGTTTCAGGCCCATTTTTTTGGCGGCCCCCTAGAAAAAGCTGCACGGTCCCCACTGGTCCGCGGCTCCCATTTTGGGAAACACTCTATAAGAATTCACGTTTTAATGCCACTCTACACACTCTCTGTATTTGTTTTCCGAGTAATGAGATTCAAACACGTTAAAACGATTTAAATAGATTAATCGAATTTTTTCTAAGATTATCTTTACACGTGTACAAGCATAAGTAATCAAACATAAGAAAAGTAACGAATTCATTACTCTTCGGCTGCTACGTCATTATAGTGTATCACTTACGTTATTTATAAAGTTTCGAGATTCATACTATGATGTACTTAATTTCTATCGAGACTGATTTTTGTGAACGGCTTTATTAAAATTATTAGATGTTATGAGGAAATTAACTTCTCTATAAACGGAATTCTCACATCTAATACTGTCACTATGAAAAAAAAAAGTTCTCAGTCTATATGAACACTACTTTCTTCTTTCTTGCAAAGTACCGCAGACTCTCGAATCAAGTACGAGTCACAATGGTTTGGATTATGTTATTATATAGTACAGTTAAACAACAGCGATAATTGATTCAATGAACGGCTCTTTCTATCAGGCCGACATTAGTAAAACATAATGAACAACAAAATCAACAGCCTAATGAATAATGCAGTACGGGGCTGCCAAGCTGCCTCAAAAGTATACATTAACAAAAACACAATCAAATAGAAAATTTCACAAAAGCGCTCTATTCGGGAACTCATAGAAGTACCGACTGAATTAAAGAAACCCCTGTAACACTGAGGACTCTAATATGAAACTGGACACCGGGAGAGGTCAGTCAACTATGTGATATCAAAACTATACAACCTGTCACTACATCGAGTTCGTTGAGATGAAATCTACCCAAACGAATAAATAATATTAATCTATATTTATAGTTAGTCCTGGGCCTTTGAGGGGTTCTTTAACACTGTAAGATGATCCTTTTTACTTAAACGTTTATGTAAGTAAACGCCAAAATCTACCGCGAGGAGGATCACGTGCTCAGAGAAATAAATCAACTCTTAGTTGTCATCACTCCAGAGATAAAAATAAAGATCAATCTTTTCTGTTTCTTTCCCGAGTTTTATCAAAAATAACGCAATAATCTTCTTCATTTGAAATATTAGCTTGCGCTGATAATAAAATATCAATGCATCACTAAATTACTAGATCTTCCATTACACGACTTGCCAAGAGCTTGGCGAGTTTCGTGTAAACCGTCTCAACAATAATTTTAACAAATTAGACAGTCCTTCAAACAACT